ATTCTCCCGGTATTTCGGGCCCTGTTGGGTTGTCTATGGTATCCAACATTCCTGGGGGCACCTCAGGTATCGAGTGGCAAGGAGTATCTACTACTGGCTTTATTTTTCGGAGGAATCTGCGATTGCGACGGGTTACCCGGTTACTCCCATCCATGCGTACATTATACTGCCGGTTACCCAGTGTTTCCACCACCCTTCCTGTCTTTGCCCATCGGCGCGGGTATGGACCAACTTGGTTCTGTATCTGCACCGTTTCCCCGATTTTCAGTTCCTGAAGTGGGTGACTTTTTAGATTGTATTCTCTTTCATTCCTTAAGTGTCTTTTTGCCATCCCTTTTTTCCTATAATGACCGATTTCTCTCCAGCGTTTGTGGATTCGATATCGGTCCTGGAGCACTGGGAGATGGTCCTTTATCACGCGACCGTAGAGCATCATCGCTGGAGACATATGTAGGTCTCGTACCGGGTGTTGCGATGAGTCAGTAGGGACCTAGCTGCCTGGTCATGGCATAGGCGACCGCAACTGTCCGTGCTATCAACAAGTATCCTTTAGCCGTTTTAACGGCCAGTTCTGCTCTCCCGTTGCTTTTGAGGGTAATATGCCGATGATGTTTGTTTCCTTATGCCCCAATTATCTAGGAACCGGTTAAATTCACTGGAGTCAAACGGTGGTCCGCCATCGGTTGAAAGTTCCTCCGCACGCCATACGTGCAGAACCAGTTTCGAGGGCGTCACATGTAGCCTTGGCATTCCCGGACGACATCAGAGTGACTTCTACCCATCCGTGTATCTATCTGCATATACTAGATAGTTCTTCCCTCGTAAATTGAAGAAGTCCGTCAGAGTCTTCTGAAATGGGAACTCGGGGTTCGAGGGGCGGCATTAGGGGTTCCTTGGGTTGTGATGGAGCTATTACGTTGCATACTTTGCACTGGGCCCGGTTTGACGAATGCTCGCGTCCAGTCCTGGCCAAAACAGCCGCTGTCTAGCATTTGCCAACATTCCATTGACGCCCTGATGCGCTGAATGGAGCGATTCCAGTACCTCCGCACGTAGCTTTCTGGGTATGAGGATTTTATTTTCCATTATCGTCACCCCTTCCAAGCAATATAACTCCTCTTTCATATGCCAAAACCGGCGAATTGTCTCCGCAGTTCGTGCCGAGATTTAGGGAAGCCATTTTGTATGAATTCGGCGAGGGAACGGCATTCCTCGTCAGTAGCAGCTGCAGCCACAATCCTGTCCCATGTTATTGCTCTTAATTTAGGGTCCTGCTCATAGGTGGAGTTAAATGACGCCTTATGGCACTATCCATAGTTTGTGCGATGTCCTTTTCGTTTGCTTCCTCCTGGCTTAACGCCACTGGGCATCTCGATGTACAGTCTGGTGCCGCATTGAGTTTGCCAGGGAGATGCTTTATTCGAAATTTGTACATCAAGGACAGTTCTTTGAAGTTAAACAGTCTTGGGTTCTTTATGTCCTCCAGAGCTTTTTCCGAGAAGATCTTCACCAGGGGCTTATGCTCCACGGTGACTAACAGCTCTGGGCACCCCAAAACGAACATCCGCATGCTTCCAGTCCGTAGACTAATGCCAATGCTTCTCCTTCCACTGGTGCATATCGGGACTCTCGTCCATTAGTGAATCGGGAGCCGGCCAGGATTAACTTCCAGTGGTCCTCACCACACTTCGGTCCAGCTTCGGTGGCACAGTTGCAGTGCTTCTGGAAAAGAAAATATCCTAAGCCTGTTTTGCTGAAGTCCGTCGACAAACAAGTTGGCCTATTCACTTCGAAGGTTCTTACACCGTTCTCGATTTCTTCTGTGATCCTTCTTTTCGACTCTTCGAAGATTCGATCGAGTGTGCTGTCCCAGTAGAACTTCCGATTTTTTGTCTTTAGCAGCTCCCGAACGGGCCATTACCTCGGCCTGAGAAAAAAGCGTGGCTACCTGGTTTACCATTCCAAACCAGGATCTTATGTCAGTTATATTTTTTGGTGTCGGGAAATTCCGTATTGTTTCAGTCATTTTTCTGGTGGGTTTTATCCCGTCTTCTGTTATCAAGAACCCGCAAATTCCACCTCTTTTTCCGCTAGTGAAATTTCTGGGGTTGAATACGATACCATTTTTTACTGCAGTTATTTATGTACTCCATAGTATGCCAAAATGATGATTCAATAGAGTTGTCCCATAGTATCGTATCGTCAATACATCTTGTTTTCCTGGGCATATCTACAGTAATATTGTCGAACCTGCGTGTATATCGTCTCCTGACGTTTGGAATCCTTGTGGTGCCCGAAGATAACGGTATCTACCCCATTCCGTGATGAAGGTAGTTGCATCTCTTGCCGATGGAGAGAGGGTTAGGCTATGATAGCCATTCCATGCATCCAAAACGGTTTTTCTAGTTTTCGCAGGCACCAGCGATGCCTGATTGAAAGGAGACGGTGTATGATGGGTTTCCCGTAGGGTAGCGGTGTTGAGCTTCTGTAGGTCCACCGTACGCCTCGGTGACCCGTCCTTTTTCGGTGCAACCACCATTCTGGAGCACCATGTTGTAGGTGTACCCACTGGTACAGGTTCTACGATGCCCAATGCCACGTCTCGGTCGAGGTCCTCCTTGACTCTTTTCTTCCAATGGTGTGGGACCAGGATTGGGGTGTGGACAGCTGAGGGTTTGGCCCCCGGGATGAATGTGATGTCCATGGGTTTTCCTTCCATCGCCTGCAGCTGTTGATGTGGGCATACATTGAATGCACTGGACTCAAAATGCTCCTTCATCCATCGTTCCAATCGGGGTCTGTTTTCTTCCCTAGGAGCGAAAGGGATACTGTCCGGCTTAGGTGGGACATTAGTTCTTTGTGGGCACCCACATGGTGCCTTTCTGCCGTCGCTAGTTGCCACGTTCTGCTGGGAAGTTGGGTCTGGAAAGTTATCTGGCACCAGACCAAGGTCTTTTTTAGGGCCGACTCGGACAGGCAGAAATCTGATGTATTTTTTGATACATATATAATCTGACGTGTTTCCCGCGATCCTACTCTGACTTTTAGCGAATATCACGCCTTTTATGTTTAGTAGGTTATCCGTGATTCCCCAATTCGGTGACTAGTCGGTACTAGACATTTGTCCGGACACTTCAGAATTTTTGGGATTTCTGGTCCGCTAGAGCATGTCTGTGCCCCAGTGTCTGCGATCGCCTCGATCCGGTGAGTATGGAGGCCAGCTTGTCCTATGGATATGTGCCCGAATTCTGCATGGGCCTCTGGAATCAGAGTTATCTCTACCATCAGGGTTGGTGCTGGATCAGGAGTACCTCTTCGAACTTACTTTTTGTTCCAAATCAGGTGCAGCACGGCCTTTGGTTTTGTCAGGTTGATTTCACCTCTCCTTTTCACTTGTCCATCTTGGACGATCACCCGGTTACGACCCTTCTTGTGTCTTTGGGTGGTGAGAGTTCTGGATTCTGCTCCGACCACACCGCTGTAGATTTGTTGCTGGACCCCTGCTTCGGTTTCCTGCAAACCCCTTTTAAATCCGGTTAAGCCGCAATTGTGACAAGTCATCTTTGCTGCTGGGCAACCCCTTCATTCATTCGAGCCGTCAGGGTGTGAGCTCTTCCCACACCATTTACAGGGTTCAGTGTCTCTCGGGGTTGATACGGTCTGGTTCTCCCGAGGCCGCTGCCTGCGGCCCGATCTCTGTGTGCTCGTTGTAGTAGGGTATACGTTACTATGGAGATGGGGGGTAGACTTGTCCGTGGTCTCTAGGCTGACAAGCCTGTTGAATTTTTCTTCCAGTGTCGTAAGTGTCGCAGCCTCAGACAACACCTTGCTTTGATGCTCCAGGCTTGCCAGCCCAGCCACCATTTGTCCTGCTACCATATCGTTGAGTAGCTGACTTTCCGACCGCATCCTATCCCGCTCGGACAAGTCACTGAAAAGTCGCAGAATTTTGCGACTGATCAAGTCGTGCCACGAAGTCCGTGTCGATTCCCCCTTCTTCTGCCTTCGGAGAGGAATTCTTGCGGTACACTTCTTTGTGTAGGCTTCTGACGGCTACGAGCTTTATGTGCTGTAACAGCTGTTCCTCCGTGACAGAGCTTAGTACTTCTGCTCCTACCATATCGAACAACAGCCTGTTCACTTCTGGGGCACAGGCCGTTCTCAGCTCGTTTCTTAACGCTGTTGGCTCCGTCAACCCACACATCTCCTTGTATCTATTCCAGGAATCAATGAATATCGCCCAGTCACCATCACTTGAGTCCGGTTCTATATTAGGTCTGTCGGGTCTCCTTGTAAGTGACTTTCTCGGCTGTCCTCCGTCTCTTCGCAGGGCGATGATCTCTTGCTGTAGCTCGATGAGCTGTTGAAGTAATGTCTGCTGTGTTTGTTCGTCCATATTCCAACGTTGTTTGTAGCAGGTTTCCTATATCGGCGATGCCATGTAAGGTAGCAGCGAGACGACGTATCTGCCAAGCCTCTCGTTGCCGTGAATGTCTTGTTTAAGTAGCCCTCTCGCCCTCTCATGTAAGCGGGCGAGTCTACTTCTATGGGGTGTGACGCCAAGACCATTCCGGTCTTGTAACTGGGCGTCTTAGGTTCGATTCCACCTCTACAACGTTGGGATATCAAAATTTGCCTAACACCAAATGGATTCAAGTGAATCTAAACATACAAAAATATAAATATGAATTACTATGAATTGAATGCAGAAGCCAACGCATACACAAAAGAGATGGGATAGGAGTTACAATTATTGTTTTGACATATGGAAAGGTGTTTGCAAGAACATAATATTCATGGATGTATGTATATCTTTCTACTACGGGTCCAAAATATGATTACTTATCTTTTATATTCAGTTCTCTTTTTTTTTATCATTGTCCTTTCTTTTCTTTTCTCGATACAAACACAATTTCACACACTGTCCGGCTGTAACAGAGGTATACACTTTCTTCCTCTCTTTGTTTTGCCTTTTTCTTTCCTTCCTTTTTCTTCTGTAGACAGTTCAGTTTCCAAACCCAACTCACTGCAACAGGGATGTACACTTTCTTCCTCTCTTTGGTTTTCTTCTTTCTTTCCTTCTTCTTCTTTACACAATTCAGCTTATAACAGGTATACACTTTCTTCTCTGGTTTTCCCTTTTTCTTTCTTTACACAATTCAACTTGTAACAGAGGTATATACTTTCTTCCTCTCTGGATATCCATTTTCTTTTCTTTACACAATTCAACTTGTAACAGAGGTATATGCTTTCTTCTCTGGTTTTCCTTTTTCTTTAAATGCAGGCTGAATCCTCAGCTTATAAATTTCTCTGCATCTTCAATTTGGGGTTCTCGAACAGGAATACTTCTTGTTATATTTCTTGTCCGGAGTTGCCTGGGTTGAACTGGATAAGTTCCATCACTATCAAATGAGTCTTATCTTTCTGTTCATAAACTACCAGCACTTCGACTTCAGGTCTTGCCTCTTCAGAGTCAAGATAGCAACTGATTCTTGAGTGAATCTCTGACTATCACGTGTCTTAAGTTTTGGCGCGAATTCTAGCTTACATCAGTCCCCTGTCTAGACATTTGTCGCTATGGGTAATTGGGTCAGTCAACCTTTTGACTTGCCTTCCCAAAATGTCATAAGACTCCTACGTGACCTTTATTCTGTTGCTAGGCGGAAATTAACCTTAACAGATGCGTATATGTGTGTTTAGGCTATCTGCTTTCGTGACACCCCCAAAAAGTTTGTGTTTTGTGTGCAATCTGCCGAAGAAAAATTACCAAAAAGTAGTTAGCAAAAATCTACTTCAATGACTAGAATCTATGCTATTGTTCTCCCCTCCCCTGAATGGCGTGACCAATCAGAAAGATCTCTTGATGAACCAAAGCCATTGTTTTTCGCTTATAAAGGCAGAAGATTTTCTGAGCTGGTGTGCCAAACACGTGTTTTTGCTCATGAGAAGTGAAGGTTGGACATGTGACTCCATTTTGTCATTTCTACTTTGCTTGTTGGACTGTTACAATGGGCTATCGTTTGAACTGTGATTTGGCTTCAAGTGTTGTGGTTGAGAAACAGAAGAAATCTATTGCAGTTGCTACTATAAGTTGACAGTCTTTTCCTTTCTTTACTACAATACTTGTGAAGATCAGTTTGCATTATTCTCAGCACCATTCTCTTTTGATGTTGCTCAGGTAGTGGAAAGTCTACAGATGGAACTACTGGAAATACAGACTGACTCATCACTCAAAGGAAAGTACCTAGAAGTAGGGGTTTCGGGATGTTTTTCATACCTTCCACAATAATTTAAGATCTGCAGAAAGTTTGCCATAAAGATTATGGCGATGTTTGCTCCCTTATATGTTTGTGAGCAGTTATTTTCATTTATGAAGGCCACAAAAATGTCTCACAGAACCAGATTAACTGATGAACAGTTGTCATCTTTGATCAAAGTGTGATCTACACAGACATTCCAACCTGATATATCAAGAATAGTTTGTCTAAAGCAATGTCAATCATCAGGACAACATAAAAATGATTAAATTGTACTATCTTGTATTGTAAGTATTTTGTATTTGAAGTTTAGTTACCACTAGCTGTGATTAATGTA